GGCCAATACTTTGAATAAGGTATTAATTCATTTTATGATTCAAATAAATGCGTTTTTCAAGCAAAAAAAGCGGACCGAATTAAGTTGTACACCTAATAAGATACTTCCTGAAGAATCTTTGGCTCATGGTAAATCATAAAAAATATTGGGACTTTAATGGGATGCAGAAAAGGATTTGACCACCGTTAGTTGCAGTATACTAACGAAGAAAATGTTAAAAGACTCGTTGCTCGCCACATCGCCACTGTATCCGCTCATGGTCAAGATGAAAGTGTTCCAACAAGGTCTGTAGAAATACGAATTGCAATGGGATGAGAAACTTCCAGACAGTCTTAAGGGATAGGTGGAATTTTTTGAAAGAAGAAGTGGACGGATTTTAAAAATTGTTACTCCGCATGGCAGCAAGTGATGCAAAAGAGTTTTGGTTGGCGGTCTCCGCAGACGCCAGTGATGAAGGTATGGCAGCATTTGTTTACCCGCTCAACGACCAATCAGCCCACTTGATTATGGCAAAATCAAGACTACCGTCGATCAAGGCACGCAACTGTACCAAAAATGGAATTGAACGCAATCACGATAGCAGCTTACTTGCTGTATTCAAAGCTGTAAAGGCGGACACCTCCCCCCGAAAGATACACATCCTCTCGGATTAGCAGTTGCTCTAAGCTGGGAATCATCAGACCCGCAGCAAACCAAAGTGGGAGTTTTAGTGCGGAATAGAATCAAAGAGATGCAAAAGATCGTTGACACTTTAAAAGAGCACGGAGTGGTAGTTTACTTCCATTATGTAACGTCGGAACATAACCCAGCAAATGCAGGAACTTGAGGCTTAAAGTCCTGCGAGCTCGAAAGCCATCCATGGTGGAAAGGACCAGATTTTCTACAAAAGAACCGAAGAGCACTGGCTAACGAAGCTCTATCCTCAAAAGAGGAACACAAAACAAGAAGAAGGAAGCTCTACGACTGCACTAATTGTCTATAAAACAATTTCCAACGACGACGCGGCAACAATTTTTTTGGACCATTGCGAGATTTTCAAGCTTCCAATCAGCAAGGCGAGCAGTAACAATAGCTCTTATATTCATCAAAAGATTGACACGAGTACTAAACAAGGATCGTCACGCAAATACTCAGCAAGATTGCATTCATGAAAGATGTTCAACATTGTACACTCCCTATTACTGGCTCTATACTTGCTGCACGATTGGCTATCATACAAGATCAATGGTGCCATATCTCCACTGACTACAGGAAGTCCATGGAAAACACCTTACGCTTGTTTCAAGAGAATCATTCAATATGAAGCTCACGAGGACGGCTGGGAATGTCAACGCTTGATCTGGAAACAAGAAATCCCATTATCGCCCCAAAACATAACTAGCCCAGTTGATT